CCACTAGATGCTCTAACTCATTGCGTATGCATTTAGGATCTAGTGGAGTGCTAACACCCTTGAAAACATTTGTGAAAATATGCTAACACATGTGCACAAGGTGATACACTTGGTGGTTGGCACATTTGATCAAGGGTGGTGAAGTTTAGGGTCAAAAAGAGCTATTTCGTATTGACCGGACTCTGACCTTGCGTCCGGTCAGTGGCGCGCATTGAAGTGAAAAAGGGACCGGACGCGTAGGGGGTGCGTCTGGTCACCTAGTGACGTACGCTGACACAAGCAACAGAGAGAGACTGTGTTGACTGGACGTTGGCCTAGGTCCGGTCATGTGCCACCGGACACGTCCGGTCGCAAAAAACCATCTCTGAAACCTTACTGGAAACGACAGGACGCCAGTGATGGTGCGTTCGGTCACTTTGAACAGCGCGTCCGATCGTGAATGAAACCTTACTAGAAACGACCGAACTCCAGTGTTGGAGCGTTCGGTCATTTCGAGCAGCACGTCCGGTCACAACTTAAGTGCACTGATGACCATTGAGATCGGGCGATCAGCATTTGAAGTTGGGGACACGTGACGAATATCTGAGGACCGGACATTGGGGTCTTGCGTCCGGTCAAACCGACCGGTGCGTCCGGTCGCCCCAATTTTTCAGGGGACAGAGGAGCCAACAGCTCTATTCGTGGGGGCTCTCTATTTAAGCCCCATGGCCGGCTCAAGCTCATCCTCTTGGCCATTTGCATTGACATAGCAACCTTGTGAGCTTAGCCAAAGCCCTTCCACTCATCTCCATCATTGATTCATCATCTTTGTGAGATTGGGAGAGAATCCAAGTGCATTGCTTGAGTGATTGCATTTAGAGGCACTTGGTGTTCGTGTTTCGCTACGGGATTCACTTGTTACTCTTGGTGGTTGCTGCCACCTAGACGGCTTGGAGCAGCGAGGATCATCGAGCAGAAGTTGGTGATTATCTCTAGCTCCGATCGCGGTGATTGTGAGGGGTCTTGTGCCTTCCCTAGTGGAGCGTCGAAAGGTAACTCTAGTGGATTGCTCGTGTCATTGAGTTACCTCACTTGTGGTAGGTTCTTGCGGTGTCCAATTGTGTGGATGAGGTTCGTGTAACACCTCTTAGACGTCGAACCACCAAGTGTTGGTCAACACAATGGGGATTAGCGTGCCAGCAAGCACGTGAACCTCGGAAGAAAAATTGGTTATCTCTTGCCCTTTGGTGTTCTCCCGATGATTGAATTGGTATTTATCTTGTGATTTGTTCACTCCTTACGTGGCCGTATAATCACTCTACTCACTCATTTAAATTTTCGCAAACTAGTTGTAGCAAGCTCTTTAGTGTAGCTAGAATTGAGAGCTTGCTTTGTAGTTTAAGTTTATCTAGTGGAGCTCTTTAGTGTAGCAAGTGTGAAAGATCTTAGTGAGTAGTGACTTAGCAAAGTGTGTGTCTAGTAATCATAGTAACTAGAATTGTTGGATAGGTAGCTTGCAACCCTTGTAGAGATAGAGCAAGTTTGCATTTCGCTATTTGTCATACTAATCAAATTGCTCTAGTTGATTTGTATATTTTTTAAATAGGCTACTCACCCCCCTCTAGCCATATTAGGACCTTACAACCGCATTGCGCGTGGCCTCCGAGCCACCACTACTCGACACCCGCCGTCACTGCCAGAACTGCCACCACACATGGCCATCGTTGCCGCCGTAGTCAGATCCACCCACGAGGACGACGAATCCAGTGAAGACAACCCTCGATGCGGCCACAGCAGCACCAGAGCAGCTTCACCGGCAGCAGCACAACAGCGTGTCCGAAAACTGCCACCCAAGCTGAAGCGGCCGAAAACGGACGTCGACCAACCGGATCCGGTGTCTTCTTGCGTATCTGGCCAGGGGATGGCCGGATCTGCTCGTCGGAGGTCGGGGCCAGCCGCTGCCCGTCACCATGGCTGGAGCTTGAGACGGGTGTCAGACCTACTGCTCGAGTGCGAGATGGATGGAAGAGCCCGCCACCATCTTCCTTTTGGTCATACGAGCCTCCGGCGACCCACTCGAGCGACGGCGAGGAGAGAAGGGAGGGGTCTGGATGGCGGCGCTTAGGCCTAGAGTTCCACCCGAGTCACCCCCGAGAAGGAGCGACGTGGAGCCGAGCTTGCTACTAGCCTTCATTCACACATTAACGTTACGAGGGTTTTACCTTTGTACCATTAAAAAAGATAGCCCTTACCTATAGGTCACTAAAAAGTTCAGGTGCACTCAGGTACCATTCACCTAAACTTTTTTTGTCTCCTAAGTCATTCCGTCCACCTTCCATCTGGTTTTTGCCGTTTGCCAGCCCTGACACGTGGACCTAGCAAGTGAAAATGTCCAAAATGCCCTTCTCTTGTAACTCTATCCTCTACTTTATCTCTCCGCTGGGTGGGGCCAAGCTATCAACGACTCCAACACCATCTTCCTGCTCAAGAAGAGCAGCGCGAGCAGCCTGAGCGTCTGGGCTGGCTGTGCCAAGCTGGAAACAGAGAGGGGAACGGCGGCTACCACCACTAGCCAGGCCGCGTGGGGCCCATGGCCCGAGCAGCGGTGGCGGCTAACCTGACCTGCCTGCTCGTGCCCACGGCGGCAGTGGCCGCGGCGGGGGCTGGCCTAGATCTGGACCTGGTTCACCCCCCAGCAGCCGAAGGTGGTCGGACCGGCACCTCCGCTCCCGTGCGTGGCCAGGGGAGAGACTGACGATGGCCGAGCTCCGACGAGCACCCATCCACGCCCCCCGCCGGACGCGTCCCGCGCCGTCGGCCACGACACCTCCAGCGTCGCCTTGTCCCCGCGCGCCCCGCCCCACGAGCTCCGGCCACCATGGCCGCGTTCGCCCCTGCCTGCCATGGCCGTCGGCCGCGAGACCTCCAGCGCCACCTTGGCCTCAAGGCGCTCCCCGAGCGCGTGCTCCCGGCCGCGAGCCCTGTGGCGCCTACGCCTTCGCCGCACCTGTGCCTGCGGTGGGGAGTCGGAGCCGTGCCCTGCGATGGACGCCGCCGCCATCGCCGTGATGGCTCGCTGACAGCTACGCCGCCGCCGCCATGCCAAGTCGAGAGAACCGACCCATCGTCCGTGACCTCGTCAAGCCGGCATTCGGGTCGCGCGCCACGCCACCTCTCGAGTCCGCCCCCGCTCCACACGCCACGGCGCGCGTCAGAAATCTTTGCTCAGACGCTAGCGCGCTAAGCTTAGGGCGACGCGCGCGCCGACACGCGGATGTGATCAAGCTCGGCCTCGGCGCCGGCGTGCATCGCCAACTCGCTTTCGCCTCGCCCGTTAGGGATGCCGAGGTGGCGCCGGCATGCCGGGAGGGTCAACGCGCTTCGCCTCCTTGGTCGGCCGCCATGGCGGTCTGCGTGAGCACGTCCTCGTGCTCGTGCATGGCGTGAGGCGGAGGTGCGGCGGCCCCTCGTGTTGCTTGCGGCCGATGAGGTGCAAGCAGCTCAAGCCCGCAAGGGGAGGAGGAAGCAGCGCGCGGCGCAGGAGGTGGAGAGTCACACCGAAGAGCTCACGCCGCGGCTCGACCGCCTGTCGCACGTCGTCGGTGGCGTGTTCGCGCCATGTATGTTGGGCCTCAAAGAAGATCGCAACGCCGAGCTCGGCAAGCTGTCTATCTAGCTTGATAACCTCACCATGAGGTCATGGTCAAATATACAGTCGTTTTCCTTTAGAAAAATAAATTCAGAAATATTTTAGAAATACACTTACAGCCTGTTCGTTTCGGCCTATCCGTTCGTATCTGGCTTATAATCCACGGTTTGAATAGTGTTTTTCTCTTCCACCAAACCAGCCAGCAGTACTTTCAGCCATGGCTTATAAGCCAATTCAGCCGAAACGAACAGGCTGTTATACCAGGGTAGTTTAGACTTTTTACAGCGTAGTTTAACACCGTCACATGTGAAAGTGGACGGAATGGCTTAGGAGCCGAAAAAAAGCTTAGATGAATGACACTTGGGTGCATCCGAACTTTTTAGTAACCTGTAGATAAGAGCCATCTTTTTTAATGGTACTCAGGTAAAACCCTCTAACGTTATTAGTGTTGCATCATATTAAATAAGTTTGCAAGTGAATCATTATTTTAATTTTATCTATTTTCATTTTCAAAATAAGATATCTCCTAATCTACTTCCAACCATGCTTATTCACAAAAATGAAACTTCCAACCATGCTTATTCAGAAAAATAAAACTTCCAACCATGCTTATTCAGAAAAAATAAAGAAAACCAATAAATAAAAAAGATTGCTATTTGAGGACTAGATTGATCTATTATATCCATTTGGTCAATAGATTTTGTCTCTATTGGTCTATTTTAGAGTTTGAGGCCAGTCCTATATGGCTCGTGACCTTTTTTTATATCGGATTAACTATCGAATAATGTCTTGGCCCATTTCTATTCCTATCTTTAGCTAATCTCATTGCGATACCAAATGTTAACGTTAACTGTTCGTATTTTCTTATTACACGTGGCCATTTCACCTATCTTTAATGTAAGCAAATCAGCTCAAATAGTGTCATTGAAGTGAACAATTTATATCCAATTGCACATAAACATTTGGTATAAGTTTTGATGGCGTATGAAACAAAATTAGATTTGGCACAGAAAGTGGGAATGAGACTTTTTTAGACGGAGTGTAACATTATTATTATGAGTATATTCAGACATGGATCCCATGCAAAATTTTGGTAGGGAAGTGTACATACTGGCACTGCCAACACCATTATAATCCCAGATATCTTTTACTGTCTTACTATACACAGGAAACGCATGAATGGCAAAAGTTTTGCCAATGAAGCCTTCTTCTTCCACTCGTATTCCAAACCAAAAAAAAGGAAAAGGAAAAGAAAAATAAAAAGAAAAAAGAAATCACTTTCCCCTAGTCCCCGCGGGCCGCGGCCCCCGCCTTCTCCAAAACCTCTTGGACGCCGCAACCGCATCGCACCGCACGCCGGCGGGCAGCGGCCATGGCGTACCTCCCTCCCCACAAGCGGCACCCCAGCACCACCGCCTCCACGTCCACTCCCGCACCCAACCCGCCACCTCCGTCCCTCTCTTCCTCCCTCCGCTCCCTCTCCCTCTCCTCCGCGCGCGGCCGCGGCCGCGGCGCCGGCGGACGCCACCCGCGCGCTTCTACAAAGATCATCCACGCCGCCGGCTGCATCTCCCGTTGGTCCCCGCTACCGCCCTTCTCCCCTGGCGGCGACGGCGAGGAGCACACCCTCCGCCTCGAGCCCTTCCCTTGCGCCCCCATCGAGCACAGGACCGGCGCCAAACCCCTTGCCCTCGTCGTCGCCTCCACCCCGGTACAAGGCTCCTCTGGCTCCACTGCGGTGGCTGTCACCGCCATCGCCGAGAGGTTCCTTCCCGACCTCCTTGCCGCCGCGGAGAGGACCAAGGCGGAAGGCGCGCCTAAGGATGAGTTGGTGAAGCTGAGTCTCGTGGCAAGGCTGGGAAAGGTGCTCTTCCAGTTCCAGCCGTGAGTCCTTTCTCCTCTTCTTGTTTTGCATCCCAGTTACATTTCTGGGACCTATGTTTCGCGCGATCTTGTGGTGAATGCTGAATTCGACGATTTACTGTGAATGATGTCTTCAGCGGTGGATCGCCCGTCTCACTGGACACACTCCGCCAGGCCGCTAAAGCAGGGGAAGATGGTTCCAAGAGCCAGTTGCGTAAATCGTTCTACACCAATGTGCCTAGTGAGTGTCTGGATGATATGGAGCGGTCCATGGTGAAGAGGATGGGGCTGGATTTTGATTCGTCCAAGGAGCACTACCATGTGAAGGTTTGGTCTTCTAATGCTCCAGTCCAAAGTGAATTGAACTACAAATTGTGTTGGGCTCAGATAAGTAAATGAGTTTATAAGGGTCTTCAATTTTGTGACAGGTTTTTGACAAGAATCAAAGTGATTCTACAATATCTTGCAAATGCACCGTGGAGGAAGATGAGAGCCTTGCTATCCATAAGGTTTGCTTTGTTATTTTGCAGCTCATTTCAACGATTTAGACTACCAGATTCCTTCGTCCACTTTGAGGCAGCAGCATGTCTTGATTGTTGTCTAATATCGAACGTGTTGATGCTTTCTAGTATAGCTGCTAGCTCCACAAAGTCGTGATTTCCTGAGGATATTATACTTTTTTAATATTTTTTAGCACTTGATGTTTAGGCACATCTAATCTAATTGCATGAATAACTGGTCCACAAAATCATGAATTTTGGGGCTTTCACGTAACTTGATTCTAGCTATTCTAAATTTGTAATGCCATGTTCTGTACGAAAACTTGATAGCTGACATATTATGAGATGCAAAGACATGAACATGTTTACCTCAGACATCCTTATGGGCTGTTTACTTCTATATACAACTGAAAATCTCTGAACTTCATTATTGTAGCTTGACTTGTTTAGCTGATGCCTCCTCGAGAGTTGTGTGTCTGTCCAAGCTTGTATATCCTTGAGTAGAAATTCCCATGCATTACTTTATATCTAGATAATTTGATCATGCAATGTATTTAGCTGTACTTTCAGCTTTGCAGAAAACTGTTTATGCTACTTTCCACATGTCTTGTCAATATTTAGGATTGCCATAGATCAATTATCTTTATATAATTCCTGACGTTCTTTGTCTTGTTAATTCAAAACCAGGAGTGAAAATTCGAACTCAAGTGACCGCATCTATTGATTAGCCTTATTTTAAAAGGGTAGCAAAGAATGGAAGCAGGCTTTGCTACTGAATACTAACTACCTTATATTTAGTTGCTTGTCATTGCAATTCATTTCCCCCAATGAGTGCTACCGTATGTTATATTGTATTGCAGTAGGTGGATGGAAAAAATATGTGAATTTCTGGATTAACTGGTGATAGTTAGTTAGATTATAGGATGTGATATACTCCACATATTATGGGCCTTGCTGTGTTCTTCAAATGTGATTAATTTCAACCAGCTATTCAAACCATACTTCAGGTTCTGATTCATCAGTGCTGCCTTTTATGCAGGTTGAATTGAATCAGGTACGGCACTTGGTGGAAGACATATCCTGTCTTTTCAAAGGTCTTGATCTAAGGCTGATGTTGTGTAAGAAAAGGATCCTGAAAAACCTAGATGTAAGTACTCATTGAGAACACCTTGTTCCTTTCTGGTGTTATGTTTTTTTTAATAAAGATTGTAGACTTATTTGATGTCAACTGCAGTCTGAAGTGGAAAATGCTGTAAAGAGCTTGGTGTCTGCTGCTGTTATTGATCCTAATGTGAAAGGGGGAATTAGATGGCCACTTGGAAAGGAGTCAATTGGGGAGAGGTTCAGCATAGTTGGGGTGTGGCACACAAACTACAAAGCTTTCAGAAATGAAACCATGAGGCTCAAGCTAAGGCATGCTGACAGATTTGATCACCGGAGCTCGAGTGGGGAAGTTTCTAATGAAGTCACGTTCAAACTAACTGCCATTTCTCGCAAACTGGAGGTCAGTGAAATCTACTCGAAAGATTGTTGTGTTCTACTCTTCTGTAGACACTTACTGTTAGGCTGTTAGGTTGCATATTTGTGTTTTTATGTTGATTTTGCTCGTGCAATATTTTCTCTATTGAAATAACTTGAAAGTGAGGAAAACACAAAGTTCTGAATCTGGTTGCAGTTTTTTTTTTAGAGTAATTCGTTTTGTTAACATAGTAGGGGTACTCATAACTGTATCGTGGTCATCGTGATTTCTTCTAATTGGTGGTGCAGTTGGTGCCGTCACAATCCCGTTTGACATTGAAGTAGACTGAAGCCCTGATTACGCCTTTTGTTAATTTCCCAGGAAGGTGAGCCGGTGGAGAACTCTGTGAAGGAGATGCTGGAGTCTGCTGTCCAAATGGTCTGGGACAATGCGCTGAACTACCAGATCGTGCCTTGAGCTCGGTTACGGTTATACAGACAATAGTCCTTCCTTGGAGATGCGATGCGAGTTGGTTTGTATATAGCGTCGTTTTGTCGTGATCTGTCATCTGCAGTCGTTAGACCTGAGTACTGTATTATGGAATTGGTTGGTTGGCAAGTTCTACTTGACCAAGGCCCTGTTTAGTTCCACTTTGTTTTGCCAAATTTTTTAAGATTTTTCGTCACATCGAATCTTTGGACGCATGCATGAAGCATTAAATATAAATAAAAAATAAAACTAATTACATAGTTTAGACGAAATTCATGAGACGAATCTTTTAAGTCTAATTAGACTATGATTGAACATTAATTGTCAAATAACAACAAAAATTGCTACAGTGTCATTTTGTAAAAAATTTCGCATCAAAATTGGCCCTAAGTCTGACCAGTGGCCGCAATAATTGGGGTTGATTTCAGCACAACGTGTTGATTGCTTTGCTTGCGGTCGTATGTGTTGTTATTGGGCTGTTGCAAACAGGCAGTGAACTCTCCGGGGTTTCCCCTCATTAGGTTCCAAAAAACTTAGGGCGCGTTTGGTTCACTGCCCACCGGAGCCAGGCTCGTAGCAGAGAACCAGGCTCTCTACGGCCAGGCCGAATGCATGCAAGGTCTATGTGTTTGGTTACTTGCGCCAGTCCAAACAGGCTGCAGACAAACGCTGTTTGGTTGTCCGGTCCGACGCTGAGCTGATGACTTTTTTGCCGCGCGCAGCCTCTCCACATGCACCTCGTGTATCAGGCTAGCCTGGCCGCCGAGAAACGCTCGATTTCCCTGTATCTGCAGAGCCTGGCTGAAGGACGCTTTTTGCACCACGCGGGCCAGGCCCAAACATCGGCACAGATAACCAAACATTCGGTTGTTGCATCCCGCGAGCCTGGTTGAGCCGCATACAGGAACCAAACATGCCCTTAGAGGAGGATGGCCATGTAATCACAATTTCACAAACGTACGCGTACGCATGCATCGTAAAGGAGTCTTCATTTCAACTCTGTTCCCATTTCCCCGCACCCGCAGTTGCAATGCCCGTGCTGCCGGCGGCGGCATGGCTGGGCCCGGGCTCATCCACCTCGTCCACGCGACGCAGCAGCAGCAGCAGCACCCGCAGCGCTCGCCACGCACCCCCCGTTGGTCAGGTCACCAGTGTGGCCGTGCTACGTGTGTTCGACCAGATCCGGGGACTGGGAGCAGCCACGCCACGTTTTTCTCGAGCACGAGCTAGAATCAACGAACGATGCAACACAAATTCAGCTATGGCGGAGAGTGTTAATTAAGATTATACAGAGATTTGTCATGGAGCCGGACAGTTGCAGTGAAGATCGATCTTCAAGAGAATCCACCTACATCTACATTACATGCCGTTGCTCCTGACCTCCTGTTTCCTCTGTGCTGGATGCGTAGTCGCCCACAACCACCAGGTGGTCGACGAAATGCAGAAGAGAGCATCCATGGTCCATGGCATTGCATCAGGTGTATGTCAAATTGGAGCATCCTCTGGCCTCTGTCGACTGCTGCCTGGGCACTGGCCGGCCCACCGACAGCCTAAACGCCAAGCACCATCGCCCGTCGGTTGTCACTCTCAGGTTATCATATCTGTAAGATACAAGATACATGCCTGTGGCGTGTTATTTTGCTGTTTAGTCCTCGATCTCTAGGATTCGTATAATTCGCGTCCAGTAAGATGGTAAATGGAGGGTTTGTTTTAGTAGTACTAATGTTATATTCTAGCACTACTCTCAGACGTTTCATAGCGACAAGACTCAGACGGCTACGGTCAAACAGCCATGATCCATCAGTAAGCCACTAGTGGATATAACTAGCAAAGGAAACCAAGTCAAGCAGCCCTGCTTGCTAATTTCCAAGGGTCTAGTCGCGAATACAATAGACAAACCATGTGCCAAGTTGATGGCTATTACTGCGAATCAATGATGTCCACTAGTCCCTAACCAAGATATGCATTTACAAGAGTTAAGCATGTTTTCTGCATACCGTCGGAAGCTCCTCTTGAGTTGAAGCTTTCCACTTCCCAGAACCCAGCCATGGCTGCTGTTGCAGCTTTTGCAGGAAAAGCTGTTGCGACATCAACCATCTCCTATATCATCAACAAGGATAACAAGAAAGCTGGAGGTTTGAGGAGTACCAAAGCAAGGTTAGAGAAACTACTCCCACAGATCCAAGTTGTCTTTGACGCCGTCGACACAGAGCAGATCAGAGATCAAAGCTTGAGCAGCCACGCCACGTTTTTTCTCGAGCACGAGCTAGAATCAACGAACGATGCAACACAAATTCAGCTATGGCGGAGAGTGTTAATTAAGATTATACAGAGATTTGTCATGGTTCGACTGGTACGCGCCTTGGCGGGGTTCGGTTGCCGTGGCCGAGGGACCCTCGTCCAAGTGCAGGGGACGAGCGCGTGCATCGGCGACAGACCATGGCCCGCACGCTGCAGCGCCATTAATGGCGTGGCGATGGCGTGTATGGCCACGTGCAGAAGGCATCCACCCGGCCAGGGAGAGGCAGCGCAGCACAGCGCAGGCGCGATGGCAGCGGCACGGCGTGATAGGGCAGCCGTAAGCGATGGAGATCGGCAGGCATCGGGCCCGCGACGGCAGCGACACCGGCGGCTGAGGCCAAACCGCCCTCGGCGACCACTGGCCTGGCGTCGTCAGCAGGTGTGTCGCGTCGATGACGGGCGGGCCGACGCCGTGCCCCCGAGGTACGGTGACCGCGCCCACACCGGGAAACCGGTCGAGACGTGTTGTGCACGGTTTTTAAAGCGTCAACCACGGCCCATCTAACACGGTTATGACCCAACCAATCTGGCCAAGCTGAAGATGGTACCTAGGGCTACTGAATGGAGCAATATACATGGACCAAGGTAGACTAGAGAAGAAAATATGAGCATGCCAAGTTGGTGTTGTCAACCGGCTCCCAAACAACATTTTCTAGCTTTTTTAGCAATTAATTGATGATCAAATCACATACTAACTAAACCAACCCCTATGTAACACCCTAAGTGTTAGGCTTGCATAATTGCACTTGCATTGCAAGAGCATAAGCATCAAGCATTCCTATATGAGCTTTCACATATGAAACATGCAATTGAGACATGTGAAATATGACTTGTTATTTTATGTTTTCCCTATGTGTATGCTTATGATCATGTATTATTGAGTGCAAGTGGTTGATGTTGGTCACTAAAATACCTTAGCTACACTTAGGATACTTAATGGAACAATGTTCATGTGGATCACTTTACCTAATTAAGCTCCTAAGTGAGGACATGCTTAGTTTGACCTAGGATTTACATGTAAGCAATGCATGAAATGATTGTGGAACCTTAGGAGTACTTCAAACATGTTTAGAATGTCACTAGGAACTACTTTAGTATTCATGACTAAAGCTAGTTTGGTCTCTAAGTCATACCTATAGTGTTAAGTACCAATCTCATGTGGTATATTTGACTGGAGTCGAACTGCATTTTAGAAACTTTGCGTGGATGTGCACCCTAAAACAAAGTTGTAGTACTTGAGAAGTGTAACAACTTTTATTTTTGGGTGATAGGCTAGTTCAGCTCCTAACATGCTTGAAATTGGATCACAAAAATCATTGAAAATGATGTTTTTCAAACTTAGAAAATTTTCTAAGTCATAACTGAGTTGAGTTTACAGTTTGACGTAGCCGACTTTGGGTTGATGTAACTCTTAATCCTTTGCGAATTAGCTGATACTTTCTAAAGAAAAATTGTAGCTCTATCATAGCTCTACAACTTCGATTTAAGGGGATTTTGCTAACTCGCCACATATTAGGATTTAGGAAGGGTTGAAAACACGCTGTCAGTCACTTGATGCTCGCTCTGATGGTCTTCGAGTTCAGGCCGACATGGACGATCGGCGTCAGGCCGAGCGTGCCAAGTGGAGGCAGGACGTTGGCGTTGCCCCCACTCGTCAGGCCGTCACGGACACGACGACACCACGCACCTGCTGCCTCGTCTACTGCCTTCACCCGCGTCCATTCGCTTTGTCCGCGCCACTCAAAGCTGAGCGTTGCGCCACTGCCATCGCCGTCGAGAGCTCGCCACCGCGTAGCTCCTCCGCCGGCCAGCTGTCGCACAATTGGTCGCGCCCGTAGACGCGTCGTGCTTTGCTCTACTTCCTAGACCCATTCGTAGTCCCGTTCGAGCCAAGGTGAGGGTCTATTGGCCATTCCCGTCGCCGCCGCCATGACTGGCACCCTCGTCGAACCACGAGCTCGCCGTGGCCCGAGCTCACCACCGTTTATCCCTGCTTCCTTTCCTTCGCATTGTCTTCCTAATGTCTCGTAGATGCTTTTACCCTGCCTCGCCTAACCGCTTTACCTCTGACATCGCCGATGTGTGAGCCTCACCGGAGTGAGCTCCGCCGCCATGCAGGCATGCCTACGGCCAGGCTTCCCAAGCTCACTAACTAACCCTAGACTAGCATGAATAGCTTCACCTGGGCACCGTGATGCTGTAGCGCCTCTCGCTGGGACCTGCCGTGGTCGGAGACGGCCGGCGCACCGCCGTGCAGCCATGGCCGGAGACGAGCCAGCTTTGGTGTGCCCGCGCCCTAACCACCTACCTCTATCGACGCGGGAGAGAGAGAAGATCACCATGGTGGTGTCGGTTTCGCCGGAGAGTTCACCGTCGGCGAGCTAGCACCGGTCGACCGCCATCCCCTGCCATGGTTTGACTAACCTGTGGGGTCCCCTGACTTGTGGGTCCCTCGTGTCAGTGACTGTCGTGTTAGGTTTTGTTATTTCTTTTCCCGATTTTTGTGCTAACTTTGGAAAATGATATCTAGGGCTAGGAGTGTCCTATTTGTGTGAACAAAATTTTGTTGGGTTCCTCATAAAGTGTAGTATTTGATAAAAATATGAAATGCACTATTTCTTGTATTTTTATAGGAGAATAAAATAGAGTTTGATAAATGCTTTTAAAGGGTTTCAATCTTGTAAAATCTATAACTTTAGCTAGGAAAGTGCTAAAAATGTGATTCCAATTTTGTTAGTCTTGCATTGTCATGTACTACCTGGGAAAAATATTGTTTGCATTGTGATCTTGCTGGAAATAGGAGTTTTCTATTTATCTTAAATAAATGCTAGATTCTTGTGCTATTTTTTCATGGTAAAAATATGTATCCATTGAGCATGAAACTTTTTGTAAAGTGTTCTTGTGTTGTGATGAAGCTAAGAAAAATATAAATACTGTTGTTTGACACCTTTTAATAGGATTTCCTATTTATGCTATTTTAAGCCCTGCTGGCTTATCATTTTTGTGTAGGATGTTATACTTTTTCAAATGATGTGAAATTTATACAGTAGCCTATTGGGCATATGTATAAGCTACTGTAATATTTGTGGAATTTTCTGTACACTTTTTCTATGTGTTTATTATTTAACCTAATTATCTAAATAAGTTAATAAAGGCATGAAAAGAATTTATTTAGAAATGGCCACTATGTTTTCTAGTGTTCATTTGATGTATGTTAACTATTGGTAACATTGGTAGTGTTCAAAGTACCATTCTTGTATGTAGTGAAATATTATTTTTCCTATAATTCACTTATAGTGACTTTCTGGACAGATTTTAGAGTTAAACAAATTACATGGTGAAGATGATGTTTGCTATGAATCTTGTCTATACCAAAGTTGTAGGTAACTTCATAATCTAGCCTGTGTTAAATTTGCATGACCATAGGCCTGATAATTTAGGAGCTATAGATTTTATAATTTTCCTGTTAGGTTTTGCATGCTCTCTATATAGATCTGAATGATTGTGTTGTTTGACCCAACTAAGCTTTGAATCATGTCTTGGATATAATATAAGAAGTGTATTGCTTTTCATGAGCTTTCCAAATTGTTAAAGATCACTCCTTTTGGTGGTCTAAATCTCCAGTTATAAGCTTCTGAAGTTGCATGGCAAAATCTGTCCAAGTCTGGACAGAGGTGAATAATTATGCTTGATTGACCTTGTTGATGGTGAAATCACCTGGTGATGATAATAAACATGTTTTAGATAATTTAATAAGATTTCTATAAAGTTAAGTTTCATGCTTGTTTGATGTCTGTAACTCCAGTTATGCATTTTTGAAATTACTACTACTTTTCTGTTCTAGTTCTATGCAGATCTAAAACATTGGCATGTTTGACCTGGATAGCTTTGGAATAAGCTTTTGGTAATAATAACAATGTTGTAGTCAATTTCATTAGCTTTTTAGAAAGTCTAGGATCACCTTCTTTGGATGTCTAGATCTCCAGGTATGGATAAAACAAGTGACTATTGTGCTGCTGCCTAGATTTCTATACATGCGCTAGGTGATTGCTTTAGCCTGCTCTTTGTTGACAACCAAAAATGTCTATTTTGTGAAGTTGTCAAAATGTGAAACGAGCTTCACCATTGTGTTCCTCTCATTGAGATGGTCAAAAAATATATATGGAACGTCTAATTCGAAGCCCGGATGAAGAAGTTATGCCCTCGGAAAGATGCCTCGTTGTTGGAAGTTCCGACCCAAGTCGCGACTTTCGACTGTCGGAAGTGCCGACGTGTGTCGGGACTTCCGAGAAGCCTGAAGAAATCTGCTCGAGTGTCTAGGGTTATCCCTATGTCAGGAGTTCTGATAAAAGTCAGAAGTTCCGACTGTCGGGAGTTCCGACCCAAGTCGGGACTTCCGACATACCTAACAGAAAAAATCTTGTTCGGATATGGCCTTTTGGATTCTGATCCAAACTATTCCAAACTCGTGGAAAACTTGGAAAATAAGGCTTGGAGATGTTTTCTACTAGGATAAGACCACCCTCTCTCTATATATAAGAGGATCATGGCCGATTGAGTTCCCATCTATCCAATCGTCAAACAAATCAATCTACTACCTCTACTCCAGCCCTTTTGCCCTCTTCTCCAACCCTCATGCTGTTCATCCCTTGATCCAACGACCAAGGATGATGCCCTAGGCTTGCTGGCTGACCTAGGGCAACCCGACAACGTCCTTGCCCTGACGAGGTCCCTCTCGGGTGAGAGCTTCGACGGTTTCTTTGCTAGTTTGCCTAAAAACTAGCCGGTTCTTCGTCACGTAAGCACATTGGTTATCCTTTGGTGGTTTGCTTGTAAACCTCTTCGTTCTTCACCACAAAAGAGTGACATCCTCGCTGCATTCTTCAGTCTATAGCGGCCTGGGCGTCCAAGGCCCTGTTGGTGTTTGATTCGGATCATTTCCGACGTCAACACACTTTTTGACGACTCCGTTGGGGACGATTGGTTTGGCTATCTCTTATAGCCGATCTTTCTGACCTAGCCTTACTCCTCGTTGATCTATCTTCTTGAGGTCGTCATTACCGTTGCATCTGGCCTAAAAGGCCGATCGCATCTGGTTTTGACCCCTTGTGATCTTGTTTGCGATTTTGCAACAAGTTACGCTGCTTATCGGAAAATTCAGCAAGGCGGTCAAGTTATAAATCATGAAGTACCAAGGTGTTGCATCACAATATTACTACAATTACCCTGAGGTACAACTTACAAATGCATCTTATGATCCTAATAGTTATTTTGCAAGTTCTATGAGCTCTCATGTTGGTGTTGCTAGCTATAATGATACTAGATATGTTACATCGGCTAATACTTTTGTTAATGCTCCTCATCATACACATCATAATTATGAATATTATGGTCAAGAGCCAATGCATGTTGTAAATTCTTTGAGTTTTGATACTACTAGCAACATACAACACGTAAATTGTTATTCATCGGCTATAAGTTCACAATATGTGGTTCCACCACAAGATATGCCGATGAATGAGAGAATTGGCTATAACAATGCTAATTATTTAGCCAATTGCTCTAAAAATTTAGCACCATATGCCAATGCTCCTATTCATAATTCAGCTCCATATGTTACTTCCAACTCGAGCCGAATTAATTCAGCAAGGTGTTTAAGTGCTAATACTTATGATTTGGCTTCACGTGTTACTAGTAACCATAGCTGAATCAACAAAAAATCAGCACCTTATGCAAAGATCAATGCTCATAATTCGGCTTTGTATTTCGCTCATGACCATAGCCGAATTAGTGAAATTTTAGCAAGGCATTCGAGTGCTAAAACTCGTGATTCGGCTCCACATATTGCTAATAATTATAGCCGAATCAATAAAAATTCAGCAATGTGTGCACTTGCAAAGAATCATGATTTGGCTTCATTTGTTGCTCTCAAATCAAGCCGAATCAATGAAGATTTAGCCCATGCTAGGAATCCATATGGTTCCTCTAACTAGAAGGTGCCCACTTATCATAGACCATACCCATTATGCTATGATTACTTAAAAACTCCTAATGGTTGGTGGGTAATTGATTTTTATAAATTTAGTGGTGAAGATGATAAAACCACTGTGAAACATATTAGTATATATCTCTCACAGCTGAGTTTTACCGGTAAAGAAGACTATATGAGAGTGCAAAATTTTTCTTTATCTCTCACCGGTATTGCCTTTGCATGGTTTACATCTTTGCAATGATGTACTATTGGTTCATAGTCTCAATTAGAGAAGCAATTCTATGAATATTTTGGAAAGACTAATGAGAAAAGACCGATCACAGTTAAGTCATCGGTTAAAAGAGGATTGCTAGTGGGCATAAAAGAAATAATTAATTCAGATGTAAGCAAAGGTTCGGCTACAAAAGCCGAACAATACAATATCCTTTCTGAATCAATCACATCTCAAAAAACAAGTCTGGCTACAGAAAAGCATGGAAAACGCTAGAAACCAGCTAAACTTGATTTTTCAGGAGCTAAAGGAGTTGTACACTTATATAGTGATTACCGCATCATTGATGGAAATCAAACCCCTACGAGCAACAAAGGATGACTGCCTGCCTGCTCAGAATTGGCTGAGCCGACTTCAAAGTCAGCTGAGCCGATTAGGCGCCCTGAGTCAGCTAGGCCGACTGTCTCTACCGCCTTCCCTGAGTCAATAGATTACTGCGAATCAATGCTGTCCACTAGTCCCTAACCAAGATATGCATTTACAAGAGTTAAGCATGTTTTCTGCATACCGTCGGAAGCACCTCTTGAGTTGAAGCTTTCCACTTCCCAGAACCCAGCCATGGCTGCTGTTGCAGCTTTTGCTGGAAAAGCTGTTGCGACATCAACCATCTCCTATATCATCAACAAGGATAACAAGAAAGCTCGAGGTTTGAAGAGTACCAAAGCAAGGTTAGAGAAACTACTCCCTCAGATCCAAGTAGTCTTTGATGCCGTCGACACAGAGCAGATCAGAGATCAAAGTGAGGCGCTAGATGATTGGTTGTGGCAGCTCCGGGATGCCGTCGAGGAAGCTGAGGACGCCCTTGATGAGCTGGAGTATTACAAGCTTGAGGAAGAGGTGAAATTGCGAGATAGCAAGGTGTGTGGCTCTCTGCATAAGTACAAAGGGAAGCTCGTACAGAAGTTTAATCACACGTTCAACACTGGATCTCTGAAGAGGTTGACGAGTGCTGTCAAGACTTTAGATGAGGCTGTTGCTGATGTGCAGCGTTTTCTCCCTGTTCTCAATCAGTTTGATAACAATAAGTTGAACAAGCATAAACAGGATGTGGATTTCAGGAACTGACGTGAAACAAGCTCACTACCTCAAAGCCTGGTACTTGGCAGAGAGAAGGAGAGGGAGACTATAGTTCACTGGTTGACCAAGGTTGGAAGCAGTGCATCTGAACGGGTCGTCAACAATATCCCTATATTTTCTATAGTTGTGATTGGTGGACTGGGGAAGACAGCACTGGCCCAAGTTATATGCAATGATGATAAGGTGAAAGGTTATTCCGATTCAATCATCTGGGCTTGCGTTTCTTATTATTTTGATGTTGAGACATTAACAAGAAAGATTCTTCAAGATGTAACTAGACAACAAATAAACATTGTTGGTCTAAATGCTCTTCGCAATGAGCTCAAGGAGAAGTTGAGTTCCAAAACCTTTCTCCTTGTACTGGATGATGTGTGGAATGATGACAGAATAGATTCTTGGGAAAATTTAGTACCGCCATTGAGATATGGGAAGAGAGGGAGTAAGATATTGCTGACAACTCGAATGCAATCGGTAGCTGATCTTGCTGCAAGAGCAATGCAGGAAAAATGCCAGTCTTTGAAATTGAGTGGACTAGGAGAAACTGACCTTCTTGATCTACTGAACATGCATACATTTTCTGGCTTTAATCCTGATGATTACAGAAATCTGCAGCAGATTAGCAAGAAAATGGTGGGAAAGCTCAGTGGTTCTCCATTGGCAGCAAAAGTTCTTGGTGGATTGTTGAACAGCAAAAGGGACAGTAGCACTTGGAACAGAATGTTGACAGCAAGTATTTATAATATCGAACAGGGTAAGGAAGGGATCATGCGGGTATTAAGGTTAAGTTATCAGCATCTACAAACTCATTTGCAGGCATGTTTCAGGTACTTCAGCTTATTTCATAAAAACTATGAGTTCACAAAGAAAGAATTGGTGTACTTATGGATGGGATCAGGACTGATCCAACATGTGGTGGATGACAAGATGCCAGAGGATGTTGGAATGGAGTACTTGGATATATTAACCAAGAAATCTTTTTTTGATATCAAATCAAGGCCTCTATCTTTTCATGATATAAGATGCAATTTTAATGAATATGATGAAGAAAAATATGTTATTCATGATCTTTTGCATGAGTTGGCAGTTTCAGCTTCAGTAAAGGAATGTGTTAGAGTTGACAGGAATTTTTCTGAAATGAATCTAAAGACTGTTAGACACATGTACATTGAAATAATAAATCCTACTGTGGTTGAACAAATGTCTAAAGCAAAGAAATTGCGCACCCGTGTCATGCATTTTCAAGAGCAAGATCAAGCAGCACAAGAACTCATACTCAACAAAGTGTTGACTGTGGCCAAAACCTTGCGGGTGTTGTCCCTAACCACAAATTCTGTCTTCAAGCTGCCTAATGAATTTGGGCATCTACTGCACCTTCGTTACTTGTCTCTCATTCGGATTGGACAAAGCATGACACATGTCTCCTGGTTCCCACAGTCCGTATACAAGTTATACAACCTGCAAATAATGAAGTACGATGATCCTCATCTTGCAGCTCCTGTAAGAGGAAAAATGGACAGTCTCTGTAATCTAGTTAATTTGCGTCATATGCAGTTACCATATTTTATAATGGCTATGATTCCTTACATAGGAAAGATGACTTCTCTACATGAACTATATGGTTTCTTCATCCAACAGCCCTGTTCGCTTGGCTTATAAGCCGTATTTTTTCAGCTAACGAACAGTATTTTTCTCTCACAACAAATCAGCCAACGGTACTTTCAGCAATGGCTTATCAGCCAAGCGAACAGGGCATTTTGGTGAACTAAAGAATCTAAAGAACCTCTGCTATTTGGATGTTTCAGGTCTTGACAAAGTAATGAACACTGAAGAAGCTGCTGAAGTTATGTTGAACCAGAAAGAGAATCTAGCTGCAATAGCACTTATAGTTGGTCTCCACCAGGCCCTAGAGACGCACTAAAAGTTTAGCCCAGTCTCTTCTGACTCATGTGACCCAAGCAAAGCTGAGCAACTTCTTGAAAAACTTCAACCACATCCTAACGCTTGTAAATTGAAGATTCAAGGATATCCTGGTTCTCGATCTCCATGTTGGCTGGAAATTCCCAAACTCATCAATTTGACATATCTCTTTATATGAGATTGTAAAAGATTGCAGCGTCTTCCACCTACTGGGCAGCTACCTTCTCTCCAGTATCTCTATATAATTAATCTGGAATCAGTTGACCTTGTGGATTCTTCATTTTTTGGAAGTGAGAAACCTTATGGACTGCAATCCCTTAAGGTATTAGAGATTCAAGACATGCCTATATGCACTGAATGGGTTGGACCCGAGGGTGAGAACTTATTTCCCCAGCTTGACACACTTGTCGTGCGTGACTGTAAGGTGTTGAGATAACTACCAAATATACCTATTAGCATTCAACATGTTGAAATCTATAATGCTGGTCTACATGCTATACCGCTGCCACCAAGTTTAGGTGCAAGTTCCTCTTCATCGCCGAGGCTGGGCCTGTCTCTTTCAAAGTTAACAATTTCTTGCTGCCCAGATCTGTCAACTTTGTGGCAGGGGTACTCTCTTCCTGTTCTGGAGGAATTGTCCATCCAACAATGTGCGAGCCTGTCATACCTACCTGAGGATTCATTTTGTTCACCTTCTGCTCTGAAGACCTTTGATATAGTGAAGTGTCCAAATTTGAAGACAGGAGAGATCAGGTTGCCCCCTACGGTGAGATATTTCACTTTGGGATCGTGTGATGATGCTGAAACTCCACTGATTTACTCATTGCAAGATCTCACATCACTGACGCGATTGTTTTTTGATGGGTGTGCAATGTCATTACTCCCTTCTAAAGTTTTTGCGTGTTTGGGCCTAACTTCTGTGGTGTTTAGTGACTGTGCAATGACATCCCTCCCCTCCGCACAAGACTTTGCAAGACTGACAAATCTTGAAAGTCTAGACATCTGGGATTGCAAAGAGCTACTTTCACTGGATGGAATTCAAGGGCTCAGCTCGCTCACATTCTTGGTAATCATTGGTTGTGACAGCCTTGTTCAAGATTTGCCTGACATATCAGGGGAGGGTGCTGATCTATCCGGTTGTGCCTTGGAGATCAGCGAGCTTGATATTGACCACCCATGTCTCTTACTCAAAGAGCCATTAAGGAGCATGGCCATTGTGAAGAGGCTCCGAATTTCTGGCGGTCCTGAACTAAGACTTTTACCTGGGGAATGGCTTATGCGCAACTGTCAAGCCCTAGAAGTGATTGTAGTGCGTGATGCTTCCCATTTGCAACGTTTACCACAAGAGATTGGAAGTCTGACCTCCCTGCAGTCATTGCAGATATCCAATGCAAATCTGATTCAGATGTTTCCAGATATGCCTGCATCTCTGAGTAATCTACACATCAACAATTGCCACACTGAGCTCAAGGAACGCTACAAAAAGAATGTAGGCTCTGATTGGGGCAAGATTGCACACATTCATGATGTGGATATTTTCCTAATACTATGTGGTACATGATGTCCGATGAGATCTGATAAAGAAAACCCTGTCTTCTGTTTGTTTACTCTATATATATATGCACTGTGGCACTCGTTGGTGAAATGCATCAGTTGGTACGACTTGGAACTATGCAGTTCTCTATCACGCTTTTCCTTTTACATTCTGAATTGTAATTAATATATATTAGCATCACCAAGTATGTTTGCAATTTCATTTATGATAATCTATGGAGTATGGACCGCATTGTGTTCAATGATGACAAAGGTAGCTGAAATTTTCAATAGTAAGTTGTATGGCATGATTGAATATGCCTTTTAGTTTTGACTGTGAATTATTCCTGTTGGCATGCCATCATTGTTCTTGTTATGATTATTGGCTAAACGCTCTAATCAACTCCCCCTGCAGTGCCACTGCCATTTCTGTTTTGTTAGTGGATACAGATCTTTAAGCTTCTTACAGTGTCATTTGTTATGTCTTGCAGGTAATTTCACTGAATGCACTTGCTTGAATTAGGTTCCATGTATAGTTGAAGGCAGTCAGATGTCTGTCAATTTTTTGCATCTATCTTGCACCTCAATTTGCAAATTTAATGCAAAATAACGTAACACTCAGTGTCAGTGTCAGATGATACAATAAAAGAACCAAACCGGAGCATGCAACCCACCAATTCGAAGTACAAATGCCATGTTTGCTTGGCTTATAAGCCGTACTTTTTCAGCCAACGAACAGTATTTTTCTCTTACAACAAATCGGCCAACAGTTCTTTCAGTCATGGCTTATTAGCCAAGCGAACAGGGCAAAAATGTTGGCGTTGTCAGAATTGTACAGGAACACGTTCATGATGTTCGTGTAAGGAAAAAATTGAAATGTGGTATTGGATCGCCACCTAAGCATGTAGTCAGATGTACCGAGAGGTGGGAAACAAAACAAGAGGCTTATGTGAAACGGCGATTCTAGCGCCCGGACGTCCGGCGCGCAAATGCGCCGGTCCCCTTCCAAAACCCGGCCGCCCCCGCGCGGAATAGAACGGAATCACACCAGCCCCCCATGTATAGAATGGAATAGAACGGAACCCACCCCTATCCTTCACTCCCCACCGTGCCCCGTCCCCCGTTCCCCAACGCACCCCGTCCCCCCACCGTGCCCCTGTTCCAAAAGAGCACGAAACACTTCAAGTAGAACATTGCAAACATATGGAAAAACTATATAATGCAATATCGTGATATAAATACTGCAACATCGCAAAAATATATATTGCAACATTGGAAAACATGCACTGCAACATTGAAAAATATGTACTGCAACAATGAAAAATATGCACTGCAACATCGAAAAAATATACTGCAAAATGGAAAACATGTATTGCAACATCGAAAAAAATATGTACGGCAACATTGAAAATTATGTGCTGCAACATCAAAAAAATATGTACTGCAACATCAAGAAACATGTACTACAACATCGAAAACATGTACTGCAACATCAAAAAAATATATACTGCAACATCGAAAAATATGTACTGCAACATCTCAAGCAGTAGTACTGCAACATCACAAAAACATCTGTTGCAACGACCCAAAAATCCCATTGCAACATTCGAAAAATATCTATTGCAACATTCCAAAAAATCAATTACAACACGGGAGAAAACAACAAAAAAACGTATAAAACAGCCCTCGGCCCATCACCTTCGAGCTCGTCGGAGTGAGGAGGGAATAGGACCCCAGAGCTCGCCGGAACCCTAGCCACCGCCGTATCCCTCGGATTCAGAGGAGGAGGGGGGTGCTTAGATCCTAAAAGGTCCTAATGGCTAGAGGGGGGTGAATAACCAATTAAAAATTTCTACAACAACACTAAGACAAATGATTAGTCAATAAGATGACGAAGCGAATTTTGCACTACCACTATACTTGGGGTTGCAAGCCACCTGCCCAATTCTATTTTCTATGATCTCTAGTATATCATAACAAAGCTATGTCACTAATATACACCTAGGTGATCAACCTAGTGAGAGTAATACAATTAAATGATACACTATCTAGTCTTAACTACCACTAGCTCTATCCAAGTGAATATATAATAAAATACAAGAGAGTGGTAGAGAGGTATACCGCCGTGGCAAGTGACCAATGAGTGAATACCAATGAATACCAAGGAGACAATCAAGACAATGATTTTTCCTTCGAGGTTCACTTGCTTGCCGGCAAGCTAGTCCCTGTTGTGGCGATTCACTCACTTGGAGGTTCATGCGCTAATTGGCATCATACGCCAAACCCTCAATAGGGTGCCGCACAACCAACACAAGATGAGGATCACACAAGCCACGAGCAATTTACTAGAGTATCTTTTGGCTCTCCGTCGGGGAAAGGTCAAGAACCCCTCACAATCACCACGATCGGAGCAGGAGACAATCACCAACCTCCGCTCGACGATTCTCGCTGCTCCAAGCCATCGAGGTTGCAGCAACCACCAAGAGTAACAAGCCAAACCTGCACCGAAATACGAATACCAAGTGCCTCTAGATGCAAACACTCAAGTAATGCACTTGGATTCTCTCCCAATCTCACAAAGATGATGAATCAAAGATGGAGATGAGTGGGAGGGCTTTGGCTAAGCTCACAAGGTTGCTATGTCAATGTAAATGGTCAAGAGAGTGAGCTATACCCGGCCAAACGATATTTATAGACACCCCCAAACAATAGAGCCGTTGGCTTAATATTGGGCTGACTGCGGGACGACCGGACGCGCAGATCGTGTGCACCAGACGAGTCTGGTGTGGTGATCGGACGCGTCCGGTCGCTGCGTTTGGTCATAGCCTGACCGCCACGTGTCCCTTTCCAATTGTTTAGCCATTGGCGCCCAACGGCTATCTCTGCGCACAGTAATACTACATAATCGGACGTGCTGTTACAAAACGACTGGACCTAGGAGACGCAGCGTTAGGTCGAGTCTAGAGAGCTCCTAGAGCCGCTCTAGGCCGACCGGACGCGTCCGATCACACCGGACCGGACGCTCCTAGCATCCAATGAATTATTGCGTTGAAAACCCGAGACTTGCTGGTTCACACCGGACGCGTCCGATGTCTGGTCGCTCTCTATAATCCTGCATCGGGCTATATCACTTTGACCTGAGCTGAACAGTAACTCGTCAGCGTCCGATCACTCCACTGAGCCAGAGTCTGGTCACTTTCACTTAGTCGCTCACCTCGGGTCCAAATATCGGACGCGTCCGGTCCTGATTCTGGACATGTCCGGTCACTTCTGTCTGACTACCCCAAGACTGGATAAAATACCGAACGTGTCCGGTCCCAATTTTGGACGTGTCCGGTCACTCTGTGACCAGCGTGACTAACTCATTTTCAACTCTATCTTATTTACCCATGCTCAAATGTGCCAACCACCAAGTATATCACCTTATGCACATGTGTTAGCATATTTTCATAAATGTTTTCAAGGGTGTTAGCACTCCACTAGATCCTAAATGCATATGCAATGAGTTAGAGCATCTAGTGGCACTTTGATAACCGCATTTCGATATGAGTTTCACCCATCTTAATAGTACGACTATCGATCTTAAATGTGATCACACTCACTAAGTGTCTCGATCACCAAAACCAAAAAGCTCCTATCAAGTTTCACCTTTGCCTTGAGCCTTTTGTTTTTCTCTTTCTTCTTATTGGTGCAAAAAGTGACCAACAAGTAAATATTTGTCATTTTGTCGTACGTTATGATCGGATGTGGCCTAGCACTCAATGACAGGGTTTATACTAGTTTAGGCAACGTGCCCTACGTCCAGTTTGAGTCGGTCGATCACTTTATTCCTGAGCCCAGGTGCTCAAAGTTTGCTGTGGGGTTACAAATGAGTGGGAGTAAGATGGGGTGTTAGAGGTCCGGTCGGACTTTGACCGAAGGGCCGAGAGTGACGGGAGCTCCTACGTGCGCTAAGTATAGGAACGTATGCTCTGTGTAGCTTTAGAAAGTCTAAAGCTAGCAGAGAGTGAGTCAGAATGATCCATCTGTTGTTTGTCTATCTCGTGTTGTCGTCTTTGGGAGAGGGCGCATCTCCTTTTATAGATGAAGGGGATTGCGTTATAAGCGAGAGAGAGAGAGTGAGAGAAAGAGAGTGTGTGTTACCTAGTCTTGTTGCCCACGCCGTCGGGTACAAGATGGTTTGTCGGCGCCCACAATACTGTTGACGCCCAGATGCATGTGGTAGGCTCCATCGTGTTCTTCTGGTGTGGAAAATGTCGGCGCCTACCATATTGTACGACAAATGTTGGCACCTACAACACTGTTAGTGTTCTGACATGTTTGGAAGGTTGCAGAGCACCCTTCTGACATGGTCTGGCAGTACTGTCCTGCAGGTGTGCAGGGTACGGTCCTCGGTATTGCGGTTGACTTGAGCGCCCTGCCTAACTTGATCCGCTTGTCTCTTGGGTCCTCACCGAGCGAGAGTCCCCGGTCGGTTGTTCCCAGTCGGCTCCGACTGCGCCGGTCGGAGAAGAGCTGTAAGCAGAGATTCGGTGTATTCCCTACCGGAGAAGCGGGTCAGAGTCGGAAGCGAGCATCGCCCTCTCCTTGGCTAGGCCTTCTGATCGAAGAAAGCGGGTCAGAGTCGGAAGCGAGCGTTGTCCCCTCTTTGTCCAGGCCTTCCGGTCGGAGACTGGCTCGCTCTTCCGGTCTGTCGTTTAGGTATCTGGGCCGGCCTAGGAGTTGCGTATTGTTCGCAACGTTGTCTGCTGGGCTGAGCTTTTGCTGGGAGGTGGGCCCATTAGGGACCCTGGGTTTATGAACCCGACAGGAGCCCCCGAGCCCCTGGGTGATTCGAGTAAAATTGTCTAGGGGATTTTTCAATTTGTCAGCGGGTGCGCGTGAGCGCACCCGGTGGGTGTAGCCCCTGAGCCCCGGGCGATTTGGGTAGAATCGTCTACGGGGTTTTGTGACTTGCCAGCGGGTGCGCGCGAGCGCACCCAATGGGTGTAGTCCCCGAGCCTACATCCGACTGGTGAGTCGGTTGGA